TCCTTCCTTCCTTCCTTCCTTCCTTCCTTCCTTCCTTCCTTCCTTCCTTCCTTCCACTAATCTTTGTTCACCTTTTACCATGTGCCAGGAAGTGTACTAGGCACTGGGGATACAGCAGTGAACAAAACAAACCAAGTCTTTGCCCTCTTGGGACTTATATTCTGGTGAGGAAGGCAGATATTTAATATAATGTCAGGCAGTGATGAGTGCTATGAATGAAAATAAAGTGGAATACATATGTAGGTTTAGCAAATGTGAAAAGGTGGAAAAGAATGAAAATAAAGTGGAATACATATGTAGGTTTAGCAAATGTGAAAAGGTGAAAAGGTGGAAAAGAATTTTGCAAGTATCTTTTAGCCATCTGGGATCACCAGACTTGCTATGTACACATTTTTCTCAAGAAAACTATAATGTCAAGCTTTACTTTGGTGATAACACAGGTCCTTTGGGAGGCTCACTCATTCCTTTACCCATAGAGAAGATGATGATGGTTCTTTTCTCAGGCTTCTTTCCATTCCCCTTCTGCCAGGTTCCCTGTACATATCCCTGTCAGGTTCCAACCATCAGTCATAATTGTCCTCAGTGGTCCTTATCTATGTCACATGCTCTCAGAAAATATTAGAAAGGTAGCAGAAAAAATGAAATCAATGCAGCAGTAAAATGAGATGGGTCTCTAGAAAAGGAAAGTTCACATTTGACATATACACCATTTAAAAAAAGTCTTCCTGATTTTGTTCTGTTTGATCTTCAACCAGAATTTGATCCATTGAGTGTTTTTGTTCCACAGGAACCTTTTTTTCTCCTCAGAAAGTGTTTCAGAGTTCAGGAAGACTCATTTGAATAAATATATCTTTCAAAGCGATTGCAGAAATTAGCCCTAGAAAATTGCCACTCATCCGAGCGGCCTTTACACACAATTCTCTCCCTTTGTATGTCTCTGCTCAGTGAATTCTCTGTTTTTGCCTTTTATCCTCTTTATAAAGCTTAGGGACTCTGACTCTCATTTTTAATTGACAGTTATAACTTAAATGCAGTTTCTAGGCCTTACGAACTGAGAACTGTTTTGGGGGATTTGCAGACCCTGAAATACTGGAATATCACTCTTTGGGGTTCTCTCCCCATGACCACCTGTACGTATAGTTGGTGTAAACAGCTCTTCCTCTACTGGTTTGTAAATTTCTAGAAAGAGCTTCCTATTTAAAAAATAGAGGGGAAAAAATCCCTAGGTCTTTCTTATAGTACATGAAATGACTCAATTGAAGATATATCTTCAATTTGCTGGCTCTGCTAACTCCAGGAGTTTATTAAACAACACATACCAATTAATAGGTCAGAGAGACCTAGGGTGTCAAAATCACTTTAAGTCAGAGACACTTAGGGTATCAAAATCAGAAGCACCTTGAATGATCCCCTAATGGAAACAGCCCACAGGAGAGGTGACTTCCCAAGGCCGTGTAGTAATGTGGTAACAGCCTAGATCCTATGTCTTCTCACTTCAAATCCCTCACTTTTCTTCCATGCCATGGTTCATTAGCATGTTCATAGGGGTTAGTTGAACAGGCCACTTTCCAAATAAGAAAGAACTAGCAGGTCCAGACCAGGTCAGCTCTGATGAAGCAGGTAGTAAAAGGAAGGTTGAACAAGGAGAGCACAGCTTGGTAAGGGGTCCTACAGGACGTTCTGGACAGTTAGGGCTTTGGGCATGGATGGTATGGGGGAAGGGAAAGGTGACTAGTTATGTGGTCTTGGGCAAATCACCTAACCTCTCTGAGCCTGTTTCCTCATCCACACTAATAACCTAAACATGACTGGAGGTAAGACACTGTGAAAGGCTCTTTACACATATTATGATCTTCACAGCAACTCTGCAGGGATCTCTCATTTTTAGAGATGAGAAACATTTAAATTCAGAGAGGATGTTGTCTTAGCTTGGACCACCGTAACAAAATGACATAAGCTGGGGGGCTTACACAACAAACATTTATTTCTCTAAATTCTGGAGGCTGGAAGTGCAAGATTAGGGTCCCAGTGTGGTTAGGTTGTGTTAAGGGCCCTCTTCCTGCTCTGCAAACAGCCACCTTCTTCCTATATTTTCACATGGCAGAGAAATCATCTCTCTTGTCTCTCTTCTTATAAGGGCATTAATCTCATCATGAAGCCTCCACCTTCATGACCTAATTATTTCTTAGAGGCCCTGCCTCCAAACACCATCACACCAAGAACTGGGCTTCAACATACAAATGTTATGGAGACACAAACATTCAACCCATAGCAGATGGTAACTTGCCCAGGAATGTGTAGCAGACAGCGGCAGAGCTTGGACTCGAACCTAGGTGAGTCAGACTGTAGGGCCAAGGCTCGTTTCTCCGAGCCCATAATAGCCTATTGAGTAAAACAAACAAACAAACAAACAAACAAACAAACAAACAAACAAAAAAGGCAAGGCCTTCATGCTCTAAAATTCAGGACTGTAATTATGCTGAATCCCTAAATCCTGATTAGATCAGCTACTCTCTCTGAATATTATTTATATCTTTCAAATAGTGCTGACAATCTGAGGTACTGATATCTGTTTTGTACAAAGCTTAACACATTTCAGACTGTTAACAATTATTAAAGAACAGGCCAGACCAATGGCCTCCCTGGTTTTCAGGAAAGAATGAAAGTTCCATCTCTGAGAGTCACTTCACTCATACTCTGAATGTAAGCACTCACATAGAGCCCTAATGGCAGGAAGAATTTATTCTTTTTCACACAACAGCGCTGCCAAAGCTAATTAATCATGGATATGTTTGAGTTTTGGAGAAACTGAACATCAGTTTATGGATTCAAAAGCAATTTTAGTCTGTCCTTCTAGGCAAATCCTTCCCTAAAGATGATATCCATGTTGGATTATCCCATACACTTGACCATTTACCACCAGGAGATCTTGGTTATATCTAATTTAGGGATCCTCAGATATGGTTTAATCCTGCATCCACATGCTATCCACATGTGTGAAAAGAACATTTTTCATAAAGACATTCATCTTAGAAGTACATGCCTTTTTTTCCTAGAGTTTTTCATTGTGGCAGTTATTTCTAAAATTTAGGAGGTAATACTGGGCCTATCTTTTTTGCTTCCCACTTATAGCTTACCTGCATATGTAATCATCATCTTGCCTTCCTGGGTTTTGTTTGTTCATTTGTTTTAAATTTTTTTTTTCAATGTTTATTTATTTTTGGGACAGAGAGAGACAGAGCATGAACGGGCGAGGGGCAGAGAGAGAGGGAGGCACAGAATCGGAAACAGGCTCCAGGCTCTGAGCCATCAGCCCAGAGCCCGACGCGGGGCTCGAACTCACGGACCGCGAGATCGTGACCTGGCTGAAGTCGGACGCTTAACCGACTGCGCCACCCAGGCGCCCCTGTTCGTTTGTTTTAAATTCAGAGTTCTTCCTAAATTACTGCTCCAGAAACTCTCAAAATTACCTAATTAGTAGTAACACTTTGCAGATGATGAAGAGCATTTCCCAGCTAGTCGATTCAGTTAGTTAAAGCAGGATGCTAAACAATGCCACAGGTTTGGGCCCTGGTGAAGGTGTGGCCAGGAGCTCAGGAAGGACCAGGAGAGCATGCGGATGGCATGACAGAGAGCCATCTCCACTAGAAGGAAAACAATATTGCTATTCAGCAACATCATGTTGGGAGTACAGCATATCTTAAAAACAAAAAACCAAAAAAAAAAAAAAAGGGGGGAGAAAGGGAGAAAGGGAGGGAGAGTGGGAGGAAGGAAAGAAAAGAAGGAAGGAATAGAAAGAAGGAAGGTAGTCGGAGAGAAAGAAGGTCGGCGACAGATAATTGCAGACAAGTTCATGGAGATAAATAGTAAAGGAAAAATAGCAGAAGAAACCGGAATCTGAAGGCTGGCATGACCTTTAATCAGGGCTCTTATTCCTAGCAGGCTGTGAAGCAGCTTTGTCTTTACCTGCTCAATGGATCCCACAATGCTGATGCACTGCTTTAATTTGGGAAGCCTTCCTCTTGAGAGACATGTCTTTTCCAGCTCTAAGTGTGAAGTGCTCCCAAGTGTGGCATTCTCTGTGACAGATGTACTACAGTTATGCTTTAGCTGACTCCAAACCCATAGCTTCCCCGTGCCTGAGTGGTCTATTTGATGTCCAAGAGTGTGTTTCCTTGGAGAACAGGTCTTTACTGGAATATCATCCAAGAAGGTAGGGAGGTATAATCCCTTTGTTCTCAAACAGCCACTGTTCAATTCTGTAACCCCATTCCCAAACCAGGGCTATTCTTTCAAAAGGTCTGAAACTCATTTGCTGACATACATACACGCCCCACACCTACACCATTTGCAGGCACTGCCTGAGAGAGACTGGAGCCCTCTTCTTTCAGAATCTTCTCCCAAGGTTGCTCCATTTTCATCGATGGTCCCAATTCCACATGAGTCTCTGTAAAGACAAGGAATTTCAAAAAGGGTTTAATATTTCCCAGGAAACCAGGTTCTTGAGCAATTGTCCCGTCCCTAGCTGCATTTCCTCTAGAAGCCTCAGGGTCTCGTTAACAGGATCAAAAGTGTGACTGGCAGGACCAGCCAGCTGCAGACACGTCCATCTGTGATGTGTCTGTCCGTGTCTGTTTGTCACTGATGAAGCATGGCCATTCTTCTCTTGCTCTAACCTTCCCACCATTAGAAGCCATTCTTGAAGGAAGGCAGAAACGTACCCACAGGCCATTTCTGTTGGAACCTGTGCCACTTGCCATGACTTCTCCTGCCAGCGCTGATGTCTGCTACACAAGGCATTACTTCTCCAACTCTCTCTTGCCCATCCAAGAATTCGTTTCTATCCACCAGTTTACATTCTCTCTTGATGTCTTGAGAAGGTCAGAAAGGGCTAGGGTCTTGGCTAGAAGACTTTTTCCATCATTCCTATGCCTGTCACAACTCTTAAGTTAAGAGTGTGCAAAAAGTTCACTGCCATTTAAAGTCTGCCTCTAGGGGCGCCTGGGTGGCTCAGTCGGTTAAGCGTCCGACTCTTGCTTTTGGCTCAGGTCTCGGCTCAGGTCGTGATCTCGTGGTTTCATGAGTTCGAGCCCCGTGTAGGGCTCTCGGCTGACCTCGCAGAGCCTGCTTGGGATTCTGTCCTCCACTTTCTCTACCCCTCCCCCACTAGTGCTGTCTCTGTCTCTCTCAAAATAAATAAATAAACTTAAAAAAAAATTTAAAGTCTGCCTCTAAAGTTCAAGGAAATCCCTCCTCTTGGACTTAACACTTGCTTTTCAGCATTTTTACCTGAGGTGACAGTCTAATTATTCCACTGCTTGAGAAAAGAAAAAGAATTTGAAGTGTTTCTTTTCTTTATTTAAAAAAAAAAAATTGTGCTTGTTTATTGTGCTATTACTATAAATGATCTCTTGGCTTCTTTTAGATAGCTTTCTGCCTTGACTTTGTTAATTGATACCAATTAACATTTGTTTAGTAGAGACAAAGCATGAACAATCTAACAGTTATACTCAATCCAGTGCTGTGACATAATGGTTATTGATTAATTACTCGGGTCTTTTTTTTTTTTTTTCTTTGAGTTCTCTAAAAACTCTTCAAAATGCAGAGAACAATATAATCCTACAATTTGGTAAAGATTGGTAAATGGTGACATATTGAAGACAATCTGTTCCTTAAATCCCTAAGCAAGAAGCAATCAGCACAGTTAGTTGATACCTGGCTTACAGAGGAGAAGGCAGAGCCTGAAATATCTATGCCCACCCTTTCCCCTCTCAGACCATTAGGAACATTTAGACCATAGGGCAGAGTGTCGTTTTTTTTTTTTTTTTTTTTTTTTCAATGTTTTTATTTATTTATGGGACAGACAGAGACAGAGCATGAACGGGGGAGGGGCAGAGAGAGAGGGAGACACAGAATCGGAAACAGGCTCCAGGCTCCGAGCCATCAGCCCAGAGCCTGACGCGGGGCTCGAACTCACGGACCGCGAGATCGTGACCTGGCTGAAGTCGGACGCTTAACCGACTGCGCCACCCAGGCGCCCCCAGAGTGTCGTTTTTCTAATGCAACAGGTTTCAATGATGAAATATACTGATTTCACACTGGACACAGACACAACCAAAATTTCCTTTTCTTTATTTTTTTGAGGGATATGTGTGACATATATCACTGTTGTCACCCAAACCTCTTCGGATTTTATTTTTAATCACATCTATTCAGTTTTTTCATGCAGAAAAGTATAAGGAAAAAAACTGTCCATGACCCCATTCTTAGAGAACCCTCTTGACATTCAGAAGTAAATGTAGTATGTTTACATGACTTAAAATTTCTTTTTTTTTTTTTAATTTCTTTTTTATTTTTATTTTTGGGACAGAGAGAGACAGAGCATGAATGGGCGAGGGGCAGAGAGAGAGGGAGACACAGAATCGGAAACAGGCTCCAGGCTCTGAGCCATCAGCCCAGAGCCCGACGCGGGGCTCGAACTCACGGACCGCGAGATCGTGACCTGGCTGAAGTCGGACGCTTAACCGACTGCGCCACCCAGGCGCCCCTACATGACTTAAAATTTCAATCAGTACAGATGGGAGCAAAATAAAAAACCAAAGTCTTCCTTAGTTTTGTTATGAGATTTCAGATTCTCTCTACCTGGGGACAACTCCAGGTATGTCCCTAAGAAGATACGAGATTTAAGTTGAAAAGAACAAATGTCAAGAGAAACCTAGAGAGTGGCAAGGGTGAACACACACAGCATAACACTCCTTGTAAAAAAAAAACAAAAAAAAAACAAAAAAAAACACCCCTCCTGGATCCTAACAGAAGGTGGCAAAAGAACTGTAAATGTTGGAAAGTGACGACCCGTTAGAAAGTCAGAAGAGGCAGGACAGCTTGATGCACACATTTGAAGTTATAGTCAAGACTGCAAAGAAAGATTCCACCCTGCTTTTCAGGACTGGTGGATAACAGACGAACAAGAAAGCAGGAATATGATTCCACTCATGAATGTGTACAAAATGTAAATCGCAGAGACTATGGGTTGGCTGACCATATCAAAGTAAACTAAATGCATAACTTTTATATGATCGGTTTCTTTAAACAATTTTGTAACACTTGTATAAAAAACTTAATAGCTTTAAAAAAAAGTTAATGTTTATTTCTTTGAGAGACAGAGAGAGAGAGAGAGAATGAGTAGGGGAGGGGCAGAGAGAAAGGAAGACACAGAATCTGAAGCAGGCTCCAGGCTCTGAGCTGTCAGCACAGAGCCCGACGTGGGGCTCAAACTCGCAAACAGCGAGATCATGACCTGAGCCAAAGTCAGATGCTTAACCGACTGAGCCACCCAGGTGTCCCCAAAAATTTAATAGCTTTGAGTAACCTCTAAGATATTCTTCTGTTGATGCGTTTCATGAAAAATCCTGGCCAGACTTTCCTATTATGACATGTTTGTAAGTCAAAACTAGGATCCATCTCTTCCTAGCATTGAGTAATGAATGATGATGTGACAGTGTGTGTCTTGACAACTCATTTGAAAAGGTCACAATTATATTTCATCTCTGGTGACACTTTCTTTCTACAGGCCATGAAAGTCACAATACCTTCTAGAGCTGTGCAATCACCATGGGAGTATGACTTCTCTATTTCTAATGGTGTCATAGACACGACAGCCCCGGACTTCTCAGCATTCAAGGAACATTTTAATTTATCCTGGGGAAGTATTTTTTCTCTCTTGGAACACATCAAGAAGTTTCTCAGGGACTATGCAATACCAGAAGTTAAAATAAAAGGAAACAATTTGGTAGCCTTCCTTCCAGAGTTTGAGCTGAAGAATAAACTTACCAGATATGACTTTCTCTCACTGGTAGAGAACCCAGTTCACATCCAAATGATGTTAAATCTTCCGGGCCAAAGGTACAAGGGCCAAGATGGAAAGTCAGAGGCTGCCATCAAGATCCAAGCCACATGGAAATGCTTCAAAGCGAGACAAATTTTCTTCATTTATCGCCAGCAGAAGTGGGCTTCAGGTGTGATTGCCATCGCGTGGCTCTTACATTGCCATAAGACCCGAGTGAAGAAGATCCTGCAGGAATCACGTGAAAGACACCTGGAGAATTTCCGTATTCGAGCCAAGGTACACAAGGCTGCCAGCTGTTAAGGCAGACCTCTTTTTCTAAACATTTCTTGCTTGAGCGATTGCAGTAAGTTGTCTCTTCGTCTTCCCTTTCTCTCTCCAACTACCCTCCCCCTCAGCCTCTCTCTCTCGCCTTCCGCTCCTCCCCGTGTATGATGCACAAACCCTACGTGTGTTTGTACATCATATTTTAGCCCCAACCAGGAATCTGGCTTTTGCACCTGTAAAATCTATTGCAATTTTTTCTATAGAAAAAAAGTCCCTTCACTTTGACTATGGTAGCTCTGTCAGAAAATCAATGTTTTAACTGCACTACCTTTTCTCCCTATATATACCTTCTGGCACTTCAATTTGCTAGGAAAAAAAAAATCCTCTCTTGTCTACATTGCTGTCACCACTTTGTCAGAAAGTATTTAAGTTTGCAGACAGCCTTTTAATTAGTGCTCACAATTTCATTTATGTTTGCTTTCTCTTTTTTTCATTCATATTCTGTTAATTAAGTGAGCTGCCTCTAATCTTCCCCTGCCAGTAGCATCATGTAGCCACCTAATTAAATTAATTGGGGAAGATGTTTTAAGTATGTAATTAAATCAATTAATATAATTTATGCCTGGCTTAACTGTACAGTGGAAAAACAGCTGAAGTTTGACTAGATGAATCCACTACAGCTTCCTGTCACTGATCAATGCTCTTCTTGATTTTTAGCATCTGGCAGCCAACTGGAATCGCATCAGGACCTCCAGGAGGACTATTATCCATATCCCATCATTAGGTATAACACTTTTGCCTGCAAATCTATCAGCAACCTCTATTACCCACCACATTATGGCTCCTTGATTGAGTTCAAGGAAGGCCCCTTGTTTTATTCAAATTGGTCTCGGCAGGAAAATGTTCTCGACATGATGAGAGTAATAACACAGGGCCCTCGCTCGAAACGGCGTTTAATTTGGGGATTAAGCAAATAAAGTCATTATGTGGGGGCTGCTATTCAGTGGAGAGGTGATTTGCTGTAATTCGCTTTCATCTGTATGAAATGAACTAAAAAGTTGTATTTTTTCCCCCTGAAATAACAGATAATGTTTTCGATCTTCTTTAATGATAGAAGAACACAGGCTTGCGTGTGTTGTTGCTGTTACGCCAATAAGCCAGGATATTGCTTGTACACTGTTTTTAATCAAATGTGCAGTCAAAATGATAAGCTACATTCTCTGAAATTATTTAGTTCTAATTACGAGCAGATGGGATGCTTTATTTGCACCTAGGGCGCCTGAGCAAAAGGAAATGCTGTGTGAACAAGAATAATTAAGAAGTTGAATAGTGTTTTTTGCGCTTAAATAATCTGCAGTTTCATGTTAATTAGCACTAATGTAATTATTTAATTACATTTATGAATTGGGGAACTTAAAAGCTGTTGTCTGCAACACAGTGGTAAGATAGGTATGCCAAAACGACATTGGGAATCTCAGAAATCTGCACGGGAAGTTCCTTTAAAACATGAGCTGCTGTCAAAAGGTGTGGGGTGGTCTGCCTCCTTATTTTTGTTTTGTCTTGCTTTTTAACCTACCTGGTGTGTTAAAAATTTCCTGGGTGAGGCCAAATGTCCTAAGCGGACTTGGGAGTTTTGACAAACAGCAAAACTCATCACATCTGCATCTTATATACTACTGGCTCTTTGTTAAGGCCTTTTAAGTAGAGCGATGCATTAAGTAATCTATTGTAGTAGAATTCTAGGTTGTAATTTATTTGCGCTCCTGTGTGAGTATATGTGTTTGTGTACCTATGTACAGTATAAAGCATTTAACGCATTTTAACAGTAATACAAAAAGCAAAAAAATTTTTTTAAATTATTATATAAATATAATTATCTTTTAACTTAGGGAGATATTAGTAGTAATAAAGTAATGCAAACTTTCCTAGAATCTAGAGTACTTACATCTAAGTACTCCCAGAAAAGTTAAGAAGGTACTTCAGTTGCACAGTCTTTTAGTTTGGGTCTTTTTATGGCTCGCAGAAGAAATTAGTTCCTCCTCAGGATGTAAGTGAGGTAAAACAGATCTGAATTTCATTCCAACTTGGGTTTTTGTTTTGGTGGGACTAGTTTTGCACACAAAATTAGTTCACACTCAGAAATTGCACTTGTAACTGATTACAACCAGAGAGGCTAATTGCAGACACAATTAACAGACTTGAGTCCTTGGAATAAGGTGCAAGAGCCTTTCGCTTCTGCAACTGTGGACCTGACCTGATATTACATGGGAAATTTTGTTGTGTTTTCTGTTTTATTCAAAACCAGAAATAAGGGCACATGGATGGCTCAGTTGGTTGAGCATCTGATTCCTGCTTTCTGTTTAGGTCATGATCTCATGGTTTGTGGGACCAAGCCCCACATGGGGCTCTGTGCTGACGGCACACAGCCTGCTTAGGATTCTCTGTCTCCTTCTTTCTGTGCCCTCCCCAGCTCGCACACATGTGCTCTCCCTCTCTCTCTCTCTCAAAACTAATAAATACACTTTAAAAAACTCCGAGAAATACAACAAGCCCCCTACTTTGCAATGTTGACAGCATGAAGGTATTACAGTCACGATTTCCACAAACTCCTTCCCTCCACCTCTGACCCTTCAAACCCCCGATGCAATCAGCCCTGCAGAGAAGTCTGATAGAAAAGAGCCTCATCCAAAGTGGTAAAATTTTGAAAATAATGAGCAATAATCTAAACTAGGTAATAAAAAATAATTTTAAATGACAACATTTTAAAACTCCAATAGGGTTTGCTGCATATAGATTAGGTAGAAAATAACCTAGTCAAAAACTTGAATTGCATTATTTTAGATATGATATTAAAACTAGCTTTCAGGGTGCCTGAAACTACAGCGACTTCAGCTCAGGTCATGATCTCCCAATTTGTGGGTTCGAGCCCCGTGTCAGGCTCTGTGCTGACAGCTCAGAGCCTGGAGCTGCTTCAGATTCTGTGCCTCCCTCTCTCTCTGCCCCTCCCCTGCTCACGCTCTGTCTCTTTCTCTCTCAAAAATAAATAAATGTAAAAAAAAAATAAAATAAAAACTAGTTTTCTTCTAGAAGACATATTCTCAGTTTAAATAAACACATAATAAATCTGAAAGTCTTTCCTATTATAGTAATTTTTGTTTGTTAACAACATAACCCATTTTTTAAAACTTTTTTTTGAATGTTTTTATTTATTTTTGAGAGAGAGAGAGACGGAGACAGAGCATGGAAGGGGTGGGAGGGGACAGAGAGAGAGGGAGACACAGAATCTGAAGCAGACTCCATGAGCTGTCAGCACAGAGCCCAATATGGGGCTTGAACTCATGAGCGAGTTCATGAGATCATGAGATCATGACCTGAGCTGAAGCACCAAACAGAATAACCCATTTTAAAGTTTATTTATTGGGGCTCCTTGGTGGCTGAGTTGATTAAGCATCCAGCTTTCAGCTCAGGGCATGATCTTGCAGTTGGTGAGTTCAAGCCCTGCATCAGACTCTGTGCTGGCAGCTCAGAGCCTGGAGCCTGCTTCAGATTCTGTGTCTCCCTCTCTCTCTGCCCCTCCCCATACGTGCTTTCTCTCTCTCTGTCTCTCAAAAATAAATAAAATGTAAAAAAAATAGAATAATGTTTATTTATTTATTTTTGAAAGACAGAGTGCAAGCAGGGGAGGGGCAGAGAGAGAGGGAGAGAGAAACCCAAGCAGGCTCCATGCTGTCAGCATAGAGCCCAGTGTGGGGCCCGAGTCCACGAACCATGAGACCATGACCTGAGCCGAAATCAAGAGTCTGATGCTTAACCGGCTGAGCCATCCAGGTGCCCCAATAGCCCATTTTTTTAAAAAAATGCTAATTAATCATGCATCTTCTGAGAGATAAGAACAATCACGTATATTTTTTTCAACTAAGCATTTAAAAAGCCCAATCACACACTTTCACATGAGAAGAATACTTGGGCTCTGATCAAATAGTATTTGTTTCTACATTTAATGCTTTAGGTTTTATAAAATGACCTGTGGCTATTAAATTAAGTTTAAATAACGTTAACCTGTCACTTTGAACTTATTCCACAGGTGTAATTCTCAAACCTTTCTTTAGAAGGTTTAGAATGATTATGGTGTACCTTTTTGTGAACCCCACTTTCCCTGTGAATACTTGAAGATTTTAGCTAGTTGCAACATGGCCACTTTGTCTCCTGCTCCAAGGACTTACCTATACAGTTCATGAAAACAAAAGTAAATAAAAGTGAAGACCATTTTTCTCTAAACACATGTCCCTCTACCAAATCTATTCAATGTAGTAATTTTGTTTTCAGAGGTGGGAGGGAATCACTAGTCAAAATCAGTTGGTAGGCATATAAGATTCAGGTAGGCATTTAATACAAGTTACAGCCTTGTCCCCTTTTGCTCTTTCCATAGGAAATTTGCAATCAATTCTGGTGTAGTGTTAGCCCTAGAAATAATTACACCGTGTTGCTAGCCACTTGGGGTTGCACTAACTTGTTTGAACCCTCAAAATTAAATATTAGTAGCTGATAACTGTACAGTACATTGCAGTTATAAGTATTTGATTGTTTAGGCAGTTTTGCACCCACAAGAATAATTGCATTCTCCAAACCAATGATCACATGAAGGCCGGCCTTTCAGTAATGTTTTTGATCACAAAATATTTATCAAGTATTTTCAAGTCTGTGGCTTGATAATATGAACATTAAGATAATTACATATTGCAGACTAACCCCTTTGAAAGGAGGAGCTAAGAAATTTGATTGAGGGGTGCTTAGCAGTCTCAGTTGGAAGAATATGCAACTCTTGATCTCGGACTCGTGAGTTCGAGGCCCACATTGGGTGTAGAGATTACTTAAAAATAAAATCTTTAAAAACAAGTAAATAAATAGGGGCACCTGGGTGGCTCAGTCGGTTAAGCATCCGACTCTTGATTTCAGCTCAGATCATGATCTCGTGGTGGTGACATGAAGCCCTGAGTTGGGCATGGAGCCTGCTCAAGATTCTGTCTCTCCCTGCCACTTTGTCCCTCTCCCTCTCGCATTCACTCTTTCTCTCTCTCAAATAAATAAATAAATAAATAAATAAATAATCTTAAATAAAGACATAAATAATAAAACTTAATTGACTGTTCTATACTTTGAGTAGTATTCCTATATGTAACAAAAAGTTTTAGCTATTTTTAACAGACAGTGGAGGTGGGATGCTGTTGGTTAACTGTCCGAAGAAACTGATCAGCCTTGTAATTTCCTAAGATGATAAAAAAAAAAACACACCACCTCAGTCTTTCCATAGTATATAGGCTAATCTCTTAATTGGATATTAGATATTTTTATCATTTTTATTAATGAAATACAATGAAATACAATAATATAACAAAATAATCTACTATGGTTTATAGCAGGAATAGAATACTAGGGTCTATTTTAAGCAAAATCTATCTGTCAAATGAGAAAGAACTGCAACAAAGAATCCTAATTCCTCTAGAAAAATCAGAGGTCTAAATAAAACCTACAAACTCATTCTGCTTCCAGTTTCTTTGGCTGAGTTACTTCCTCCACTTTTAATTTAACCCCTGTGCTCCTTTATTACAGTGTATCATTTGGTGCTACACTTAAACTCAGTGGCATTTTAAAATCTATTGACATTAAATGAGATGTGCCACGTATGCAGCTCTGATGCCGTGAGCAGGTATGAGGCACCTCCAGCCAAGTAAACCCCCCCCCCCCCGTGATGATTTTCCTCTCTCACTTCTCTCCCTCCTTTAA